AGAGAGAGAGAGAGAGAGAGAGAGAGAGAGAGAGAGAGAGAGAGAGAGAGAGAGAGAGAGAGAGAGAGAGAGAGAGAGAGAGAGAGAGAATATGAGAGGATATCAGAGGAAGACGGAACAACAGAGGCAGGAATGAGAAGGAGAGGCTAAGAAGAAGCAATACAAAGACGTCAAACCCTCCTTCCCTTACCGTCTTGACGCCCTCTGGCATTTCTTCCTGGGCAAATGAGAGAACGTCTGTGGCTTCATCAACGCCTCTCCATTCCTTGTTTAGGAGCTGAATGTGGGGGTCATCACACACCATGACGGAAAGTTCAACCGCCTCTAGCTCTTCTGCCTCCTCCACAGCCTCCATTGCAACTCGTACAGCTTGACGCCCATCAGCTTCCAGTTGCACCAGCAAGGCCTGTCATCAACCAATGAATCGTCGGATTCAGTGAGCATATACCGGTCCAACAATCAAACTCGATGTAAGGATCAGTCTCCCTTTTTTGTGAGGGGGTGGGGAATACAGGGGTGCATTGGAAGGAGAAGGTGGAAGAGGGGAGAGGACGGAGGACGGAGGAAAGAGGACAGAGAGGTAATCAGACAAAAGTTACAAAAAACTTTTTTCACAAACAAGAAGAGGACAAAGATTACTTTGGGGGTTTCGATGGCTGCCAATCAGGATGATGAACTGGTCTTCACAAAACGAGCTTTTTATTTTTCCAATAACCTTTTTCGTTGTGGAATCAAAGAGAATTCGAAAAAATGACTTAAAAAAAATAAAATAAAAAAATCGACAAAACGGGGGGTATGCTACTCTCCAGAAAGGTAGTACCTTGTTAGTTTCTCACGTCTAAAATTGACAAGGGCTTCCCCTTCACCCCTCAAAAAAAGAGTAAAAGGGGGGTAGCCCCTAACGTTGTTATATACATCTCCCTGGGTCAGCATTCCAACTCATGCCCAGTTTTTTCAACAGTTACATCTGTGTCCCAGTCAGTCAGCCACATTGACAAGGAAGTTAAGAAGTCGATCCATGTTTCAAATCTCTCCGAAAACAAAGTAGATCATTTCATTGAGTACAACTTTTGAAGGCCTGCCCCAAGACAATCATGGGAAATCATCACTGAGTGTCGCAAGTGGTTAATGAGGGACCTTGAACCAGAGGTCATGTCCGCACCCATCCGAAATGGAACCGTGAACTGAACCAAGGGTCTGGGACTGGACCAGCATGGGAACACGAAACACCGGGAGGCCAACACACACATTTAAAAAAAGAAAACAGAAAAGTCTAGGACCAAGGATCAGGATTGGATCAGCCGCAGTCACAAGTGGTTAACGAGGGACCTTGAACCAGTCCAAAGCCTACAATCAGGTTTGGGTCAGGATAGGATTCAGTGTTGGATCAGTCTACCTATACAAAAACAGGGATGCTGAACCGTCTAAAACCAAGAGTTAAGATTGGTTTGATCTAAACATAGGGCACACGGATCAAGGATGGATCAGAAGCGGCCCAGGTTGGACTCAGGGTTGGGCCAGGGTTGGATCAGGGTTGGGTCAGGAATGGGTCAGGGTTGTGTCATGATCAGAGCAGTCTGGTGCCACCAAAACACGGATGCTGAAAAATGACCTCATCTTCACCCCAGACTCTGAAAAATCCTATCCTTGCCAAGAAGTCCCTTGTTGAGGGGTCGAGTCCCTTTGTTGAGGGTTTGAGTCCCTTCGTCGAGGGGTGGCAAGGGCAAGGACAAGGGCAAGGACATCCTTAAACCACCAGCACACGGTCCCAGCCTTGCTGAAATAGAACTCGTCGCCCATCTGAAAAAGTCGGGCCCAGGTCACCTCCAAAACCCGCAATACTGGTGGTTTAACAAAATGCTCGTGACAGGTGGGGACTTGGCCTTTATGGCAAACCAAGTCTGACGAAAGAGGGGTGGAAATGGCCTATCGGAGAAAAGAGGTCCCTTTGTTGAGGGGTCGAGTCCCATTGCTGAGGGTTCGAGTCCCTTCCTCGAGGGGTAGGAAGGACATACTTTTTTTTGGCCTTGATAGGTGGGGACGTGGGTAAGGGTCGTGGTGCATGGCAAACCAAATCTGACGAAAGAGGGGTGGAAACGGCCTATTGTTGTCGCCAAGAAGTCCCTTTGTTGAGGGGTCGAGTCCCTTTGCTGAGGGTTGGAGGGGTGGGAAGGACATACTTAACCAAATGGCCTTGATAGGTGAGGACTTCGCTAAAGGCCGTGGTGCATGGCAAACCAAGTCTGATGAAAGAGGGGTGGAAATGGCCGTGACAGGTAGGGAATCAGCCAAAGGCCATGCCCATAGCAAACTAAGTATGGGGAAAACTTTGATGCCTGTTATGACCATTAAGTCAAGTTTGGTGAGTAAGTGTAACCATGACACCTTTTATGACCATCAAGTTTGGTGAGTAAGTGTAACCATGACACCTTTTATGACCATCAAGTTTGGTGAGTAAGTGCA